TAGGGCCCCCCCCTTTTTTTATTTCTAGTTTAGCAACCCCTTCTTGCCCCCCTTTTTAAACAGACGGGCACCCCCCCCCCCCCCGGGCCCCCCGCTCCTGTGCGGAATTTTAAAAATTTCACCAACCCCCCCCCCCCCCCCCCCCCCCCGCAACTGAAGTCTAGTTAGAACCTATCTCTACCTCAACTGAAGTCTAGTTAGTTAGAACCTCTTTATACTGAAAAACAACACTTCCTTAGCACTTACGTTTGGAAAAACTGAACTCCATAAGATTTTGAAATTCAAAGGCTTCAGAAATTAGCTGATTTAGCAGAAAATGGTCTATTAAAAAATGTAAAGACTCGACTTTTACTAGGTCTTTCTATCAATTCTTTCCCCCTCTCCTAGTTGGTATTCTCTTTTATGGCTTATTGAATGTAGAAAGTTAACTATTTCTTTTGTTGGTACCTTATTAATAGAGGGCCATTCTCCAGAACATTCAACTGCAGAGTAACAACTGGTAATTCCTAGAGTTAGCGTTCTGAGTGCAGTTGTGAAGGCCAGGAGCTCCCCTCCCCTCTCCAGGCTGCTTGGCCCAGACCACAGATGGGAGAGGCTGGTTTCCAAAAACAGCACAGATGGTGAAAAGTTTCTACTGCTTTTCTTCAGCAGGGAAATGTCAAATAGCGGAGTTTAGAATTACACTATATAAATTTACTAGAATTAGGTGAAAACAAATGACATTTGAAAATTGAGGCTGAAAATAGTTGATTTTGGCTTTTAATTTTTTTATTTTTTCTTTTGAGTCAAGATGAAAGCTTTGATGATGTGGAATGTGGAACTTTTTGGTAAGTATATTAAGCTTGCAGGAGAAAATAAGTAAACAAAAGTTCAGAGCTTTCAAAAATTGTATAAGCTATTTAGGGGATCTGACTTGTGAGATTAAAACCATTTACATAAAAATTATTAAAATTTACTTCTAATTGAGAGAATATGAGAATAACATTTAAAATATACTATTAAATTAACTGGCTACTTGACCATCTTTGAGTGCAGAGATTTAGGAAACCAATCCTATATAATAAAAGTGTAACATGCAAATCCACCGAACAGCAGAAAGACCATCCGGGACCATGCTATGACACCCACTGGCACCAGGCCAGCCAAGGCAGGTGCGATGTGATTGGTCGGGCTGGCCATCGCCTCATGATCGCCCTGCAGAGGGAGGCGGGTGGGGCCTGAGGGAATCCCGCACAGGCAGCTGGGGGAAGGAAGGCCTACTATTGCACAAATTTTGTGCATTGAGCTTCCGTTTAGTGTATAAAAGGCAACTATGGGGCAGCTAGGAGCAAACCAGAATTGTTTATCAACATTGTTGGCTAAATAATGATTTTTTTCTTTTGTACATAAGCAGCTGTTCTTTAGGGAAAGGGAAATAGCTTTAGGAGTGACATAAATAATGTAAGAAACTTTCTAGAGGGATTTCTAAACAGATATCTTGTTCCTGAATAGTCCCGCAAGCTTAATAATATAAATAGTTGAAGGCACGAATCTAACTCAGAAGAGGGAATCTTTTACAAAACATCATTATTTAATTTTATAATTATTCTAAGTTAGATATATTGTCTGTCTTGAATTTAAGAAATTTAAAGGAAATTATGTTTTAGTGGATTTTAATTTAAAAATGCAACATAAGATTCTTGATACAAGAGTGGGTCTAACATGCCAATAAATGATATGTTCCAGAGATTAAGCAGAGAACTCTTTATAACTAATGATATTTCTCCGGTGTTTTATAAAACAACAATTGTTTCTCCTAAAAGTTTATTTTCTTTCAGGGAAACAATGAAATACTATATTATCTACACTAATAAAAGACAAACATGCAAATTGACTGTACCTTTGCTATGCCTTAAGCCATGCCCACCAGCCAATCAGAGTGACTATATGCAAATTAACCCAACCAAGATGGCGGCCGGCAGCCACGGAGCTGGAGCAAGCAGGAGGCTTGGTTGCCCCAATGATGGAGGAAGCCAAGCTTCCCGCCTGCCGTGGCCGGCTCTGAGCTCCTCTCAAGGCTACAAAGTTTTAATTATAGAAGGTAAATAAATCCCAGAATAAAAAAGAAAAGAAAAAAAGGAGAGGCTGGAAGCTTCCGTCGCTGGGGGGGGCTTGGCAAGCCTGAAAATGGCCCTCAGCCCCTCACCCAGACTGGCCAGGCACCTCAGTGGGGACCCCCCACCCTAAAGGGGGTATGGCCAGCCTGCAAACAGCCATCATCCCCTCACCCAGGCTGGCCAAACCTCCATGGGGTGAGGGTCTCCACTGGGCGGGGGGCTTGAACAGCCTGCAAACAGCCATCAGCCCCTCACCCAGGCTGGCCAGGCACCCCAGCGGGACCCCCACCCTGATCCAGGACACCCTTCAGGGCAAACCAGCTGGCCCCCACCCATGCACCAGGCCTCTATCCTATATGATAAAAGGGTAATATGCAAACTGACCCTAACAGCAGAACGACTGGGAATGACTGGTCACTATGACACACACTGACCACCAGGGGGCAGACACTCAATGCAGGAGCTGCCCCCTGGTGGTCAGTGCACTCCTATAGGGGGAGCTCTGCTCAGCCACAAGCCAGGCTGACGGCAGCCAGTACAGTGGTGGTGGTGGGAGCCTCTCCCGCCTCCTCAGCAGCACTAAGGATGTCCGACTGCAGCTTAGGCCTGCTCCCCGCTGGCAAGTGGACATCCCCCAAGGGCTCTCGGGCTGCCAGAGGGATGTCTGACTGCCAGCTTAGGCCCAATCCCCCGAGGAGCCGGGCCTAAGCCAGCAAGGTGGG